TATATCTATATCTATATCTATATCTATATCTATATCTATATCTATATATATATATATAATTTAACACTATTTAACTGAGGAGCAGATTGCTTTGAATTTAACTCCATTGCAGAACTCTCAACTTGAGCAAGCATGAAGGTAACAGTGGAAATGAAAAACTCCCTCATGAGGAAAAAATCTTTAGTAGAACCAGGCTCAGGACAAGCGGCCATCTGCTTAAAATGGCTGGGTTTGAGAGGAACAGGAAGGAGGTACAAATACACAAAAGGCTGGTCAAAGTCACATCAGAGTCAGAGTCAGAGTCAGAGTCAGAGTTTCTTTATTGTCATTCGCACCTCATGTGGTACATGTGGTGGAGCGAAATTATGTACACGGGGTCCCAGTTACATCCAACAATAAAATGTATAAGAAAAACAGTAATAACATCTAAGATATGAACTAAGAAAAACATTAACTAAATATACACTAAGCACTCATAACATAAAACATTGAACATCATGTTCAATGTTAAGATACATGTTAATGTTACATACATACATGTTACATGTTAAGATAGAAATAGTATCAAATGAAAACTATTCAATTTTTGCAATTAATTTAAGGAAATATGGTCAGTTTGTCTTCTATTAGTCTAAGCCTATAGCAGCATAACAAGCCAACCCCAAATATATGATATTTCAAAAAGAAAAGTATTTTGCCCAGTCTTAAAACTGGATGCAGTGTCAGCCTTATGGACAGTATCTGGAAGTTGGTTCCACAAGAGAGGAGCCTGATAACTGAAAGATCTTCCTCCCATTCTGTTTTTGGAAACTCTAGGAACCACAAGTAAGCATGCAATTTGAAAGTGAAGTGCTCTGTTAGAAAAATATGGAACAATAAGATCTCAAATATAAGATGGAGCTAGGTTCTTGAGGGCTTTGGAGGTTAGAAGTAGGATTTTGAATTCAATTCTGGACTTGACAGGGAGCCAGAGGAGAGAAGCTAAAACTGGAGAGATATGATCTCTCCTACTAACTCCAGTTATGGTAATGTGTTTAATGTGAAGGTTAAAATACATTCATCCATCCATTATCTTTTACCCGCTTATTCCTTTTTGGGGCATGGGCGTCACTGGTGTCCATGTCCAGTCATCACTGTGCGAGAGGTGGGGTACACCCTGGACAGGTCGCAAGTTCATCACAGGGCCATATAGAGACAAACGAGACAAACAACCATTCACTCTCTCACTCACACCTAGGGACAATTTAGAGTTACCAATTTGCCTAACATGCATGTTTTTGGTTTGTGTGATGAAACTGGAGTACCCGGGGAAAACCCACGCATGCACGGAGAGAACATGCAAACGCCACCCAGAAAAGACCCCAGACCGGGATTTGAACCAGGGCAACCTGCTCGCTGAGGCAGCAGCTCTACCAGTTGCGCCACCATTCTGCCCTGGTTAAAAGACATGTCCTGATCAAAAATGACATAGAGAATTTTAACATTAGAGCTGGAGGCCAGATTAATGCCCTCCAAGGATGGCGAAAGTCTACAAAAATTATTCCTAAGATGCTCAAGTCCAAAAACCAAAACCTCAGTTTTGTCTGTATTCAAAAGCAGAAAATGAAGGGTCATCCAGGTTATTATGTCTTTAAGACATGCTTGTAGTCTAAGTAAGTGATTGGATTCATTGGGTTTCATGGACAAATATAATTGTGTATCATCAGCATAACAATGAAAATTTATCCCATGCTGTTTAATAACTTTACCTAATGGAAGCATATATAAGGTGAAGTGTACTGTTCCAAGCACTGAACCCTGAGGAACTCCATGACTAACTTTGATGTATGAAGAAGATTAATTATTTACATTTACAATTTGGAATCTATCAGATAGATATGATTTAATCCAATTTAGAGCTGTTCCTGTAATCCCAATATCATATTCAAGTCTCTGTATTAGAATATTGTGATCAACTGTATCAAATGCAGCACTGAAGTCTAATAGGACAAGTACAGACACAAGTCCATTGTCAGAGTCCATGAGAATATCATTACTAACTTTCACCAGTGCTGTTTCTGCGCTATAGTGAGCACTAAACCCTCACTGACACTCCTCAAACAGATTATTTCTTTGTATATTATCACGCAACTGACCTGCAATTTTCTCTAGAATGTTTGACATGAGTTTTCTCCGGGTACTCCGGTTTCCTCCCACAGACCAAAAACATGCATGTTAGGCTGATTGGTAACTTTAAATTGTCCCTAGGTGTGAGTGGGAGAGTGAATGGTTGTTTGTCTCGTTTGTCTCTATGTGGCCCTGTGATGGACTGGAGACCTGTCCAGGGTGTACCCCTCCCCTTGCACAGTGATTGCTGGACATGGGCACCGGCGACCCCCGTGACCCAAAATGGAATAAACGGGTAAAGATAATAGATTGATGGATGTTTGACATGAAAGTTAGATTGGATATATTGTAGGTCTATAATAGGCTAGGATTCCTGAGTCAATGTAATGTTTCTTAAGTAAAGGTTTAATTACAGCAATCTTAAAATGCTGTAGTACATACCCATTCATTAGAAACAAATTAAGCAGATCCAAGATCAGATGCAAGAATGTTATTCTTAATCATATTAGCTAAGTATTGTATAATTTATTGATAATTGGAATCTTTAATTTAGTAAAAAATATATTTTCACATGACAGCATGGCAAAAACACTTTTCACCAGTTGGTGATTGATGGCTGTAGGCAGGAAGGATCTCCCTGACCTATGCATTTTCTAAACCCTCAAAGACACAATGAAGTTCTTTCTGACCCTCTCTGTACTTTCATATAGCATTCTTCAGGCAAAGATGGCATCCGTGGTGCTCTTTCTCGAACCATACAGCTGTTCACAAATAGTCCGAGTCTAGCTTCCAAAACGCTCTTCCAGATCTTCCTCCTGTGACTCATCAACTTTTCTCCAGTTGGGACTCGCTGTACATCACGATTTTTCTTAAAAAATGGCACCAGCACACTTCTCATCCACTCTTTGGGCATTTTCTCACTCTCAAAAATGCCAGAGCATAATTTATTCAAAAACCTAATTGCCATCTCTCGTAGACATTTCCATACTTCCGATGGTATATCAGTTCCAACTGTCTTCCTTTTTTTCATCCTCTTCAAGATTTCTGAACTTTATCCTCACTAATCGTTCCCATTTCCTGGTCCATAGTTTACATTACCTGTACCTTGTTTTACTTGCTAGTCTCTTAATCCATTAGCTCTGCAAAGTACTCCTTCCATATTCCCATTACATTCTCCTCGCTTGTTAGAACATTACTATTGCTACCTTTACTAAGCCTAACCTGCTGCACATCCTTTCTAGCCTGGTCCTTCTGTCTCACCTGTTAATACAAGTCCTTCTCTCACTCCTTTGTGCCCAACCTAGGGCACAAGTCCTCATTCACCTTCTGTTTTGCCTTTGCTACCTCCATCTTTGCCCTACTTTGCATCTCCTTATATTAAATGGACTGTACTTGTATAGCACCTTTCTATCTAATCAAGATACTCAAAGTGCTTTACTCTACAACCTGTGCCCTCATTATTACCCATCCCCACAACAATCTACTAGATCTCTACAAAGCTAATCTTAATCTGTAGGTTTATCAGTGCTTTAGATCACATTCATTCACCAATGGGCTGCTCTCTTCAGTCCTCTCACTCTCCCATTTATTCATGGCTAACCTCTTCCTCTGGATAACTTCCAGCACTTTACTTTTCCACTACCAAGTTTCGTGATCATCTTTTCTCTGTGCAGATGACACACCAAGTACCTTCCTACCTGTCTCTCTAATTGCTGTTGCTGTAGTAGCCCAATCATTTGGAAGACATTTCTTATCACCCAAAGCCTTTCAACAGCTTCTCTCTGAACTCTTCTCAAATTCTTTCTGTCACAACTTCCACCATTTGGTCTTATTCTCTGACTTTAATCTTTTATTCTCCTTCAACACAACCATCATCTTACACAATATCATCCAATGCTGTCTGGCCACGCTCTCTCCTGCCACCACCTTACAGTCCCCAATCTCTCTCATAATACCTCTTCTCCACAGAAGGTAGTTTTATTGTGTACTCCTGCCTTAACTCTCATAGGAGACCCTATGTTCATTTGTTTTGGAAATAGGTGATGACTACAGCCATTTCTATTCTCTCTGCAAAATCCACCACCATCTGTCTTACCTGGTTCCTTTCCTTGATACAAAACCTGCTCATAACTCCTTTATCTTCTCTCTTTCCTTCATCAATAGGTCTATTCAGGTCTGTTTCGATCACCACTCTCTCCTCCCTAGGAATACTCTCTATCCCGTTGTTTAGATAAGATTAGATAAGATTAGATCTTTATTGATCCTGCAGGGAATTGTTGTGCCAGGGTTTCAGTACAAATGAACATGCACAAGGAATCACAAAAGATATAAAAATAATAGAATGTAAAAATAACAGGTATAAAAATACCGACAATTAGGTCCAAAACAGGTCAGATGCAGACAGAAACAGTAGTGTTTTTTTTTTAGTACAGGATTAAATTTATTGTCCTATGTGGAGGAAGGGAGAGGAATTGAAAAGCTTGACAGCCACAGGGAGGAAGGACTTCCTGTGGCATTCTGTGGAGCACCTCTGTGGTCTCAGTCTATGACTGAAGGTGCTGGGATAAGAGTCCAGTGTGGCTTTTAGGGTTTTAGGGGGTGATACTTGTTCAGGATCTGGGGCAGCTTCCTCATCATGTTCTGCTCAGACACCTCTGCCAGAGACTGCATTTCCACTCCCAAAACAGAGCCAGCTCTCTTGATGAGCTTATTGAGTATGGTGGCATCAGCATCCTTCACCCTGCTGCCTCACCACACCACAGCATAGAAGATGATGCTGGAGCCCACTGAGACATCTGCAAAACATCTGCAGCATGGTCCTCCAGAATTTCTCCAGAATATCTAGAGATTCTCCAGAAGATCTTCTGGTCATCTAGAAGATTCTTCCAGAATGTCTCTTTCTCCTCTACCTGAATTCCAATCTGTGGAGCATATAACCATTGGTAACATTCAACATTAGACCTTCTGCAGTACTTTTACCTTTAGACACATCACCCCATCAGACTATTTTACCTCTAGTATGTTCCTTGCAAACTCCTCCTTCAGGACCATCCCTACTCCATTTCTTTATCTATCCACACCATGGTAAACTAGCTTAAATGCTGACCATTGTTGGAAGCCCTGCTGCCCTTCCAGTCTCTTGCACAAATAAAATGTCTACATGGCTTTCTGCATCATATCTGCCAGTTCTCTACAATTACGTGTCAGTAACTACATTTAGATTTGCTACCCTCAGTTCTACACTCTTGATTTTTATCTTCTCCCTCTGTCTCCTACAAAGTTGCTATCCTTGTGGCCTTTGACTAAACGTTCAATAAATGAAGGTCTGTAAAAGTTAAATATTACACAAGACTGCTTATACATGTAGCTGACTCAGAGTAGCTGTGATAATCAAGAGCAATGTCTGCACTGTTTTATTCCTCACTGCTCGTGTCCAGTGCTCACAGTGTCAGATGTTTGGGTTGGATCAAACCCTACCAGACTTGGAAACAACGCTGCACACGTTTGCTGCAGCAATGTCGGTAAGTTGTTACATTTTTCTAAAGTAAACAAGTGTGTCACAAGTAGCTTAGTCGTTGGTTTTTTTTTTAATACATTATTGGCTGTTATTATCCCATTATGACCAGAAAGGTTGTTAGGCAGTGATGTGCATAAAATAGGAAAGGGTCATTGCAGTCCATCATCTGGGACACCAACTTTACCATAACACCCATTAGCTTACATTAGTCAGCTCAAGCTTTGTTTCTTCTTGACTTCTAAAGTTGATAATCCTGACATATTGTTCTTGTCTGATTCTTTTTATACCCTAAAGTTTACTTTTTAAAAAGCTTTGATGTGCTATAAAACATCAAAATATGAGTGAGCTTAAACACTTATATAATTGTAGGAACTGATTATTATAAAATGACAAGTCATGTGCTGCGTTCACCCTCTGAATACTGTCTTCTATTCCAGGTCTCTTCATGTGGACAACCCCCCTCAACAACCATCAATCTCAACAAGCTATGTCCATGGTACCTCCTCTGTTTCTTTGTTGCCCCTTACTGTGGGACAGAGCCTGGATGCTACAGTCCAACGCTGTCCTGACCGTGAAGCTGTGGTCTTTCTGCAAGATGGCATCCGCAAAACCTTTGCAGAGTTTCAGCAGGATGTGAGTGTCAGATGAGATGCTTTGAACATTTATCCTTTTGGTGTCTTGACAAAATGAGCTTTTGTATGTGCTAAAGCATTGCTTAAAATTTTGTTTTGTTCAGGTTGACAAAGCAGCTGCAGGTTTGCTTGCTCTTGGCTTGAAGCGAGGTGATCGACTGGGAGTTTGGAGCCCAAACATCTATGAATGGATCCTTTTTCAGTTTGCTTCAGCCAAGGCTGGAATTATACTGGTCAGTGCATGAAATCCCAAAATACTTCAATTTACAACATTGTAGCCATGTTTTACCAAATCATTAAGTCGTCAAGTGCAAGTCAGACGTACACTGAACTTTTAACAGCATGGGAAAGTGTTACTAATTTGTGTTTTTCAGATCATCATTATCCAGATGCATGTGGCACAATTTAACTAATGCAGGCATGTCATATATTGTTTATGTCATGGCATGTGGAGAATAAAATCTCTAGCAAATAGGTAAGATTTAAAACTGTTTCTAACCTTGCAGGTGTCACTGAACCCAGCCTATCAAGTGGAAGAAGTGATCTTTACTCTACAAAAGGTAACTGTTCTCATTCCCCTGCATACATATCAACATGACAGTATGTTGTAAAAACAAATACAAACTAAAAGAGGTAAAAGCACACACTTTAATTACTGATTACATGTAACAATGCTGTTTTTTTTGTGTCTAGGTTCAGTGTAAAGCTGTGTTGTGTCCCACCAGCTTTAAAACTCAAAACTTTTGTGAGATGCTGAGAGAGATCTGCCCAGGAATCGACACCATGCCAATTGGCATGATCAAAAGCTCCAGGTCTGACAGTGTCAGATGTCAGATTTAGTAAATGTCATTCATTCACTGGATTAAAAACATTTATATTTTTTAAACTTTATAACACAACCAGTTGTGACTGCAGAATAATGATCTGTTTTGGGTCTGCCAGGGTGCCAGATTTGCGGATGATAATTGTGACTGACAGCAGGCAGCCAGGGATGCTTCATGTGGAGGATGTGATGCAAGCAGGGGAGAGTCCACACTTCAAACAGCTGATGGAGCT